ATCTCAGTGTATACGTATAATATATTCTTATGGAAGATTAATTTATTCTTCATCTGAGATACAAGCGCCTGTAATTACACAGAGTGCATCATTTGAGGGTGAACCAGTCACAATTCATCTTTGCCAGTCTCGGCAGCGCCGCGCTTAATCTTTCATGGGTGTCACACAGTTTTTCGGTTCCCCGCGGCGAGCTCTCGCCCCACTGAGGCTCAGGAGATGCTATCAGGGTTCAGAAAGCAGCCGCTACATAATATTACTGGCAGAAGCACCATTTGCCTTTTCTTAGGGACTTGTCTATAGGAGTTTTCCATAGAAGACAGATTCCTGAGGTGTTTTGCTTTTTTATATAGTCTGGCTGTATTTTCAGAATAAATAGATTTTTGTTGTGAATAACTACTGGTGAACAACGTTCAGAACACACTTAGGCAAGAATGAAAAATAGGTGTTTAAATGAATGCTCAGACGTGTCCTCCTACATGTGTCAGTAATCACGATGACGATGTGTTACCGCTGCCTTACATTGTGCTTTGCTTCTGACTAATAGTCTGATAATGAATATTATTGCTGGCTTAATGAACAAGGGCTTTTAATACGCAATATTCTCCACTGATGTGTTTCTTCAGTTGCATAACATCAACAATTTAGAGCTGACAGAGATAATGTGACCAGACGAACTATGGACCTAAGCATGCTATCACTGCGTCACGAGGTATCAGATATGCAGATAGTCCTATGATTTAGGTGCCATCTTAATAGCCTCCATGAGGGTTATTAACTGGGCCTCTCTGGAGCGTGATTAACCTAATTTGCAGGGAAATAGGCTGTGTTGCTTCTCTGAGATCCTATCCTCGGGAGGCGTGTGTGTCTGTGTGAATGTGTGTGTGTGTTGTTAACACCCTGTGCTCAGCAGTCTGTTGAATCCAGAAGGACCAGGACAGGTTGTCCCTGTGTAATGATGGACGAGACAAAGCAGACACGGCCAACTGTGCTTCATTTGACCATACCATGAAGTGCCAGTAGGAGAAAAAAAATGTTGAGTTGTTGAGGTAGTTTTTCGGCATGGGTGAATTATAAATGACTGAATACCAACTGGCTTGGCTGCTTGTAAAGAGACAGAGGCAGATTTAGCTCATAACTGAGGCTGTGCTTCATTTTCCAACCGTACACATAACTGCATATTGGATACTTGGGATGAGAGGACAAGTTTGTTCCCATAGCCTTGAGGAAAACTAATAACATCGGAGTAGTTGAAGTTAGCCACTGTGGCAGAAACAGAATATAATCTGCAGCATAAATTATATTTTTATTGTTTTTCCTATATGACTTAAAAGCTCTGCAGCTACAAACCACTGAGCAGTACAATAAACTAACTTTTGGCAAAAAAAAAATCTCTTGATAAAGTTTTAAAGCAGAGTTTAAATCTGCAAAGTATTATGATGATTTTTTTTTCTGAACTAAAAATTCAAATACAGTTTTTTCCAACTAATAGCTTATTTCACCCCACATACCACGTCATCCTGTTTCAGCAGCATGGTCTATTTTTAATAAAGAGAAACAGAAAATAAAGACAATTTTGGACAGTTTCTAAGAGGAAGACCTAGAAAAGAAACTGAACATCTGCTTATTTCATGTAGCAAACCATTTGGGAATGAACTCAGCCTAAAATGCCAGATTTTAGGGCGTTACTGTTCTGAAATGAGTTGTTTTATTGAGCCTCTTACTCTGAAACAGCAGCTATGTCAGAAAGCCCAACAAAACCACTTACTGGCAAGCTAACATTCTCTTTTAGCAATCGATGAATAAAACATACAATGTCTCATCAAACTTTTGAAAAAAACGCCACATTTACATATTTACGTCTTTTAATGTTTGAGTGTCTTGTTGTTAACCTCCTCTGTAGCTGCAGCTTCTTACCTCACAGGAACAGTTTGGATTTTTTTGGAATGGGTTTATGTGGAACGTTGTAAGTATCTTCCTGCATGTTCATCGCACGTAGCTATTTGGTGGAAAAGTGAGGCGGAAAAATCCATAACAGCATTGGAAAAGCACTAAAACAGTTCAAAGCATGCCTTTAAATCAGTTTAAAGGCTCACCTGA